CAGCCGCACCAGCTGTACCAGTGGTAGGTCCGCCCCTGGACAGAGGGATTTGATGCTTGGCCGTTAAAGTATGTGACAGCAGGTATGTGGCCAACTGGGGAGCCAGGATCCACTTCAGGGGTTCGGCAGCTTTCTCTACAGTGTGCCAGGAAGAAGCTGGAGACTGAGGAGCTACCCAATTACACTTCTCACTGTGTGTGGGCGTGGGGGGAGGGTCGGCTTGGGGGGGTAAGACCTCCGTCCACGCTTTCTTTCCCAATCTTACTGAGTTTCCTTCTGCTCTCTCTTTGTGAGTCCTTGTACATAAATGTCTGTCTTGTATGTGCTGTTTGACGAGGAACTGGCACGGGCTAGCCTCCCACATAGTGGGGCTGTACTCGGCCGCTCGCCTCGACACATTGTTCCCTTCCTGTTTTTGTGTGTTTGTTAGTCATTTATATTCACAATAAAATGCCTTAAGGGCGGGGGCATGTACGGAGACCTTGTGGCCTCCGCTTGTCCTCCTTTTCTATCTACCCCACCCTTTTTGTCCATAAATAAAGAATAACAAAAAAAAAAAAGTATGTGACAGCATGGGAGAATGAATTAGGAAGTCAACTACAAGAATGGCGACAGATTTGGGATACAGTAGCCCGCTGTTCAAAAAACTCTTTGGCAGTACAGGAAAACTACAAGATAATGTTTAGATTATATTTGGTCCCCACTAAACTGACTAAGTTCTCAAAGGATACATCTCCGCTATGTTTTCGGGGATGTGGGGAAGAAGGCTCAAAAGGCCTGAATATGGTAAAAGTGCCCAAGAATTCAGAGTTTTCAGTTGGAAATATATAAACTCATAGGAGGGGAATTTATTTAAACTGGAGCAAACAGAATCTGGAGCAGTTGTCCATGGCAACCAAACAGCATCTCTCTTCAGTTTGCTCAGTTAAAAGAGAACTATGAGGTGAGTGCTTTTCACTCACCTCATTAGTTCTAGCCGACCTGTGACAATGAGACTGTCACAGGTCGACTCAGTAGATCGGGAAGTGAGCGAACACATACCGGTGTTTGCTCAATTCTCGATCCTGTCACAGCTCTCTGCCGTGACAGGGGAGTGGCTGGATTCCCCCCTCCCCGCTCCGATCCTCCAGCGCTGACTGGCGGTACGGACGGGGGAGGGGGCGGGTACAGCTGGCTCTGCCTCTAGATAGGCAGAGCCAACTGTCACTCACGCAGCTGGGCTGATCCAGACATAGTTGTCGGGATCCGCTTCAGATGCGGCGTCTCAGTATACCGCGAGCTGTAGCTCGCGGTATACTGAGCTTAGGATGACGGGAGGACGCTAGTTTGTGTCCTCCCGTTACCCTAAGGAGAACTTTGGGGAAAAGCCCTAACCCCATAGTTCTCCTTTAAGATTTGAAAATGAGAGAGAGAAGCTGATTGGCTTCAGTGCAAATCTGCTCCAGATTTTGTCTGCTCCAGTTTTGATAAATTCCCCCCATAGAGTTTTGGAAAGGGCAACCAGGAACGATCCATGGGAAGCATGGATGTAGCCACAAGGATGTACTAGAGACCAATTTAGACTAGTAACTTATATTTTTACAGCTGCTAAACAAGCATTGGCTAGGACATGGAAGGTGGACAGTCCATCGGTTCAACAGGCTAAAAACAAAATGTCCTGGTATTCAATAAGTGAGAAAATGACAGCGATATTGGAGGATACAATCTTCAAATTTAAAAATGTCTGGCAACCATGGATTCAAGAATGTATGCCAGTAGATCTGGGTACATGCTTAGAAGAAGGGGATAGATAGAAATCAAGGCAAATGGGAACCAGTTCGGGAGAGAGAGGGGAAAGATAATAATATAGAAATAAAACAGTATTTTTTTTCTGTGTTTGATTGGTTTATTTTTTTGGATGTGTAGATTTTAGCTGCAAGGAGAGAGGAGAGTAGGTCCCTCCATAAGAGTGGTTTAGGGGAATGAAATGCATAGATGGTTCGTACGATAATGCGATAGGACATTGTTAGAATGAATGTATAAGGGAAATCAAGAAAAGATTGTCTCTATTTTGTAAAGTTTTATCTTAAAAATCAATAAAAAGTATTCAGCATACTATTGACCTAGTGACTATTTACACTACATCTGTCCATCTTATTAGCCATCCATGCAGATGAAATTTAAACAGAGTTATTTTTCACCTGACATATTCTTACACTCAACAGAGTAACGCGTGTTAAAATGAGGCTGATTTTATCCCAATCATCTTTATATAGACTGGAAATCAAAAACACATGGGAACAGCTTAAGCTAATTACAATTTTGATCAAACAGAGAGATTCTTACAATCAACAATGAATTATAAACTAGGCAAGGTCTGAGCTGTGGTCTATGATTAAAGCCAGGCATGAAAAAGCAGATGTAGGTGCCAGCATTATCATAATGCTGTACAATCGATTCTTAAAATGGTCGGCATTTAAAGTTGTGCACTTGTATCCCTTTTTCCAGCTCCCCTTCCTTTTGTCATTACATCAGACTCACTCTCTTCTAATTTTCCACTAACATGAAAGGAGGGGTTAGGCTTCCTGGCTTGGAAGTAGATGGAGAATACACAGTTAGGGATGACCTGGAGATATTGTGCCTGGGGTCCCGGAGAGATATAAAAACCAGTAGGTGATTTAGAAAAAGATAGCTTGTTGGGGCAGACCTGTAATTGATAAGAAAACAAAAGGGAACAGAGCGCCACCTCCGTGTGTAAAATAGTTTATTACAATAAATAAAACAAGGGATAAAAGTACTCACAAAAGATAAGGATTAGTCTGTCAAAATACAAAAAAGATTAATCAGAATCTAAACATCTTCCTAAACAATTTGTCCCCATTCACACCTAGGAGTATTGTCGTACAATATAATCAACACAAGAAATCCCATTCATTGTAATGGCACCTGTTCACACCTGAGCATTTTGTTGCAAACTGTAAAACGCCTGTCGCTGGAAAAAAAGTACATGAGCTACTTTCGGGCAGTTTACAGCGCATTTGGCCCCATAGACCTCAATGGAAATGTCTGTAAAAGCACGACACAAGTTTTTTGCACATTTCTGTGCGTTTTTATGCGCTTTTGTTCATTGACCGCAATGTCTTTCAAACTGCCAGCTAAGATGCGCGTCTTCATGTGCGCACGTCTAACGCAGGGGAAAATCCACTAGATCCTTGGTTCTCAACTGGTAGGTCACCGTGTGCCTTCCACTTTTCTAGGTGAGAGGCCGCTTCAGCCTCCTCCTAGCCTAGCAATATCAGTTCTTGCGCTGAGGAGCCTGAATATGCTCCCTGGTGCCATATGTCAGCTTGAGGTGGGGTGGACTGGAGCTATGGCCACGAGGGAGCTTCATCCATACCACATTGCTTCCAGCTCCCTCACGTCCTGTAGAGGTGCCTGGACCGGAGGGACGTCACATTCTGGCTCCCGTCACCTCTACAGGGTGCACAAGGGAGTTGTAAATGCAATGCATGTATGGATGGAGCTCTGTCACAGCCCAGCACTGGACCCCAGGCTGAGGATCCACTCCAGTTCTCGTAAGGTATTGAAAAAACTTTTTTTGGAGTGTGTATGTGTGTATGAGAATGTACCTGTGGTTGTGTGTGTCTGTCAGTATTTATTAGGGCCCATTAACACTAGTACAGTGCGTTAATCGAACAGTCCTGTGGAATTAAAGCACTGTACCACAGAATCGCACTTACTATGCTTGCTTTTCTTTTTCATTTGAATGGCACCCCAACATACCTCCCGCCACAGTCCAATCGCCCGCTCCAGAACGCATGGTAACGCCATGCCGTGCGTTCCATTGCAGTGCAACTTGGGTCGCCACTTAATGTCCAAGGACAAAAGTGGGTCCTGAGATTACATAGGTTGAGAACCACTGCACTAGATGCTGCAGAGGAATAGCTACATGAGATGGTAAGAGGCTGCAAAGACAAAAGGCACACAGGAGAGGGGAGTAGTGAGAGGAATCAGAGACACAAACACATAAGGAATGGAGGGAAGAGAGAGAGATGAACCACTGCAGAGACAAAAAGATAGGAAGACACAGGCACTGCAGAACTACTGAAGAACAGCTCTTTTAGTGACGCATGAGAGTAATATCACATAAGAACGATGTTTCGGTGCCGCGCAGGGTCCACTTTATCAGACACCCGCACCCAGCCCTGAAACGTCGCTCTTATGTGATATCACACTCATGTGTCAATAAAAGAAGTGTCTTTTAGTAATTCTGGAGTGCTGGATTCTTATGTTTATACTTCTGATGGTGCCATCTATGTGTCACTGCTGCACCATTTAACTTTAGGGTAGCGGGAGAGAGACGTGAGAGACTGCAGAGACAAAGCCACACAAAAGAGAGCGTCTGAACCCCTGCAGCCTCTATTGCTCCAATAGAGGCTGCAGGGGTTCAGACACAAATAAGAAGGAAGTGAATGGTTGCAGAGGCACAGACACATGTTGTGGGATTTGTGGAAGGGTGCAGTGACAACCATATAGGAGTGAAGAGCCATTGGAGGCTACAAGGACACAGTCACACGAGAGGGGAAAGGGGAGTGAGAGGTCGCAGTGGCACAGTCTCACAATAGAAGGAAGTAATCAGAGGAGGGAGAGGGAGAGAGAGAGATTGCAGTGGCACAGTCACACGGTGGAAGGGAGTAATCAGGGGATGTAGAGATATAGCCACACATGAGAGGGCACAGGAAGTGACTTTGTTTAGTGTTAAATGACCTAAAATATAGATTGTCCAACTGATGGCAAAGGCTTTTTTTTAAAACGAACATTTCCAATACAAGCTCGATCATTTAAAGCCAGAAAAGCATCATGGAAGATGTGGGGCAAAATATAAATAAAACACAATAAAATCCAATTAGTCATTCTCACAATGAACAAAACTAAACAGGTTCTTGATACTACGTAGACAATATCTGAAAGAACAAATAAATGTATCAAGAATAAATTAACATTACATTAGATCATCTTACCATTAGCTCTCTTTGCTCTTCAAGGTTTCTTAGAAAAGTGGAAAACTCCTGAAGAGATGCATCTGAAATAAGGAATAGAGGAGTCATCTAACATATTAAACATATTGAAATGTATAGTACTAAAGATGTGCTGGTTCTCTCAGATCAACATACCAATACACCTCTCGTCATCCGTTTCTGCATCCCCAATAAATTCAAATTTAAATTCACGGAGAGAATGGGCAAACTTTCTTTGAGCTGTGGATAAGTCTGCAAAGTAAAAGAAAACCTAGTTTACCATTTAGCATTCAAGTTACTGTATATTATTCACTTCACAGAATAAAGTGTAGTTATGTAAAGCCAAAACTTTTTTTGTGTTCAGTTTTAGAAGCAAAAAAAAAAAGGTTTAAAGCCCTTTATCTTTTTGCTGCCAGTATCCCAGAGATTCCCCTTCACTTTCTGCACTGGAAATGGGACAGGAAGTAAATGGAAAATTCTACAAAGTGAGGGGAATTCTGCGCTCACCTCTTGTTCCAGAAATGACTGCAAAATGTTTGACCTCCCATCACTTTCTGCCCAACACTAAATACACTTTACGTACATACACTTTAATTACTGTGCACAGCACAAACAAATATTACCATACTTGTGTATCAAGTACAAGGAAACTCTGATAAATCTTAATAAAAACTTATAAACCTGACATTTTCAACTCAGGCCTGGCAACAGCAAAACCCAGCGGAATAATAATGGATGATGCACACCCAAATTGTTATATACTGAAAGAAAGCAGTAAGCTTTTTATGTAATCAGGTGCTGAAACCACACCGGACACCTCCTCAAAAGTAGTTTTCCACAGCACACCAAAGAAAGATAGTTTTCAAATCTCAAGCTGGCCATATACTGCTTAAATTTCGTCTGAGTCCTGCTGACGGAAGTGGAAGGAATATTAGCCCACCCATGCTGCATAGATGGGGGAATCGAACGTTTTCTCATGTACTGTGTAAACCTATACTAAGGTAAGTATACACAAGAACTCTCAAAAAGTCCTGAATGCGATTCTTTACATTAGACCGCTTTCCACTACTATGCAGTGCAGATAACATAATATAAATAGCAGACCAGGGCGAGTCCCAGTACACATAAAAAGCTAAAAGTTATTAAAAAAAAGTTACTGTACACAGAGTTTACAAGCAGAACACCAGGTGACAAGGGGAGGTTGAAAATGACAGGCAAGGTTTCGGGGACCTTGTCCCCTTTTATAAAAGGCAGATTTATTAGACGTGAGGATGCCAAGGGACATACCACAGCCAGAGCGAAGGGGGAGAAAGCTGAGTGCTAACCATCTCAGGACGGAGCATCAAGCGAGTATATCTTCTGTATTTTCGCACCTACACCAAAAGGAGCTATTAACCTTTGCAGTGTAGAGGTAGCCCCACAAAGAAATTGGTCATGAGAAACTAAAGCTGACTGATTACTAGCTGGGAGTAGAGAAACCCCTAAAATTTCCCAGAAGCCCCCAAACGTAAACTAAAAAAAAATTTAATAAAAATAAAATATTAAAAAAAAAAAAAATGTTCTTAAAAAATATAATATTTAAAACATTTTTTAAAAAGATTGTTCCGGGTCTGTCCTTCAGAATGTAATGAAGCCAGAGACAGCAAAGCAAACAGCATTTTCAGTAGGAGATAATAGGCCACCCTTGTATTTCTTTTATGAGTGGTTTCCTTTAAAAATACACACAGCAATCCATTTCAGATATGAGCAGATCGTCTGTAAAAAAAGAAAAAGGGTGGTAGAAGTAGAAGAGTATACTATCAGCCTTAGGAAGCTTTGCTGAGGGATCACAATCTAGTTGTGGTATGTAAAAAAAAAAGTCAGCCACAAAGGCAAAAGCACTGTTTACAGTGCCAGTGGCAGGTACAAAAGGTAAGTGGGGGAATTCCCAATGCACACAAATTTAAATACATTTAAACCCTGAGGGTTAGTTCACACCATAAGCTGTGTGTTCCGGTCCGATTCTGGCTGGAACGCACTGCCTCGCATTGCGGCCGGCTCACTTTTCTGCCGGGCTGGAGGGGGCATGGCGGGCCATTGAAGTGAATGGCACCGTAGCCACGCCCTCTGGCCGCAATGCGATCGCCCGCACTGGACCGCAAGGCACATTGTCCCCTACGTTTGAAGATGAGGATAAGCTGAATTGGGCAGTTAGGATACCATGTCTAAAAGGTACCTATTTTGTTTGTGGAGTACCTCCAGGAACATGTGAATTTCAATTATTGTAAACCTAAATTCTGCAGTCAGCCAGATGGGAGTATCTCATCTGCTCGGTATTGTTTGTGAATGTCTAGGCGAAATGAAGGAATACTTTACAAAGATATTTTTCCCGTTAGTGCTGTTTAAATGTAATCTACAGCAAAGGTTTTCGATTGACCTTTCAAATGTTTTCTTAAGTTTGAAGTACAGCTCACAATGTAAACTACAGCACTGGTCTTCAAATGACCTTTCAATAAAAAACAAAACCCCACAGTAAAAAAATCACAGCTGCACAAATATATTATGGGCACATCAATATTCAGAGTTAGGGCTAACCTCCAGATGAATACTGAACTACAAGGGGATGAATATGGCGTAATCAAAAACTTCTTCAATAGTCACAAAAAGTGTGAAAATATTGCAGAAGATGATAAAAAAAAAGAAGCTTTGAATAAAGCAAATCAGCCATTCCTACTCTGGCTGTCATTAGGCGAAGTTGATTGACATGGAGCTGGCTTTTAGGCAATACTACCCATTATCGTGATGTATGGTTTAAATCCTTGGTTCTCAACTGATGGGTCGAGACCCAAAAGTGGGTCACGTCCCTGTGTATAGTGGGTCCCCATGTGCCTTCCAATTTTCTAGGCGAGAAGCTCCTTAGCCTCCCCTTAGCGCAGCACTTTCAGTTCTTGCGCCAAGCAGCCATTCCAGTGGGATCCATCCATATGTGCATTGCTTACAGCTCCCTCGCACTGGTGTGATGTAACATACTGTCTCTCTGCACCTCTATGGGTGTGCAAGGGAGCTGTACAGGCAATGCACATATGGATGGAACTCCATCACAGCACAGCAGCCCACACTGGACCCCAGGCCAAGGATCCACTCCAGTTCTCATAAGGTAGGGAGACTGGGTGGATCTTAAAAAAAAGAACAAAAGTTATTTTTGGGGAGTGTGTATGTGTGTGTGAGATTATGTCTGTGGTTGTGTGTTTTTGAGGGCCTATTCACACTAGTAGTGTGTTAATCGCACAGTCCTGTGCGATTAACGCAGTGTACTTCACAATTGCACCTACCACGCATCTTGGTGTGAGAAGTGCATTGCATTGCCATTCATTTGAATGGCACCCCAAATGCACCTCCCACCCACAGTTCTATTGCCCGCATCGAAACACGTTGTACCACAATGCCGTGCGTTCCATTGCAGTGCAACTTGGGTCACGACTTAATGACCAAGGACAAATGTGAATCCTGAGGTTAGACAGGTTGAGAACCACTGGTTTAAATAAATCATAGGTATGTGAAGTTTTATGGCTGCTAAAGTTAGCTGTAATTGAAGATCTTTAGGCTAAAACCACATGGGCACTGGACACAGAAGACATTTAGCACCTGTTTAGAACTATCCAGGTGGATGTAGGGAGCAGCCATAGAAATAAATTGGCAGGCAATCAGTTCAAATAACTTCAAACACCCAATGTTTGAGAAGTGCTGAGCAGGGGTCAGAATATAGTGGCCAGCACCCCCTTTAAGTACTCATCTGAACAGGACATGGACATTTCTAAAAAAAAATTGGATTTACATTGTCTAGATGAACAGTACTCCTAAAAATCATTTAACTTGTTCTATAGGCATAGAATCCACCAGTGTTTGCGGTCTGCAGTATTTATTTAAGACATTTTACAGGACTTGGTAGGACATTATACATTTATGATTAAAAAAAAATTAAAAATACAGATTATACTGCAAGGTATTCCCTAATGTTGAAACAAGTAAAATCAATAAAATTGATTAGAATCGATAATGAGAAACATCAACGATTCTCGTTATTGATTAGTTGAATACCCCACCGCCTCTCTGCTCCTCTGTTCTCCTCCCTGCTGGTGCTGGCTGCTGCGGTCTGTGTCACTTTCAATCCCCGCTGCTCTCCCCGTCTGTATCGGCAGAGGCAGCGTGGACACAGACCACTGCAGCCGGCACCAGCGGGGAGGAGGGACCATGCCCGCCCGGTTTCCTTCTCTGCTCCCCTGTGCCACCTCTTCTGTCGGTGTTCTATCAATCCCTCCAACTTGAGTCCGAGAGATTGACAGAACACCGGCGTCAAGTCTCCCATCAGCAGCTGGAAACAATAGCCAGCCTGCTGTTGGATATTTTAAATTGCAATAGCCGGCTGGCTATTACACCCTCCCACTCCCTGTTGTCAATCAGCAGAGGAGGACCTGAAGGAGAACTTTCTCCTTCAGTTCCCCCCTCTGCTGATTGACAGCAGGCAGTGGGCGGGTGCAATAGCCAGCCTCCTATTGGCTATTGTAAAATAAAATAGCTAATAGGAGGCTGGATATTGCTCCCAGCCACTGCATGATGCATTTACATTCAGCCGCCAGCTATCATTCCCCAGTGTAACGGAAAGGTGACACTAGGGGTCTAGTAGACCCCCTAATGTCACCTTAAAAAAAACCTGTCATCTCAAATGGGCTTGTGAGCCCCCGCATGTGATAGCAATGAAGTAACAAAACAAAAAAAAGTTAAATAAAAATGAAAAATATCCCCAAAAAATGTTAAAGTCTCCCGACCCCGCAATTGCGCCATACTAACGGAAACACAAGTCGGGTTCACCTACATATGAAAACGACGATTTAGCTACACGTCAAGTATCACCGCATGCTCCAGGAGTGAGAGCGATAATTTTCCAGCCAATATTCATGGCTAACTCTAACTTCTGTATAGCTGTGATGCAAATGTGAAGAAAAATGTCTAAAAAGTAGGATGGATTTCATTAATAAAGGATTGGTGGCATCGGTCTCAGAAAATTTGCTTAGAGATAATTTCCTCCTTCTTTAGGATCACTACCTTACCCCAGACCTCAACTCCCAGAAGTCCTTGCCTCATTTTTTTACTTCTGAACAATGAGTTTGTCCCTCCACTTGACCTACAGGGGGATACTAGCAGGCATGCTCTGCATCAGCATGAGAGCCCATTCTTTCACAGTTGTAGGACACACAGACAGGTCACAACACTAC